CCTCTTGCAAAACCGGAGATTCTCTCAACAAGCCTCATGGTTCCGAGAGGGAACGTGTCACCTTTGTGTGCGAAACGATAGATGCTGCCTCCCCCTGATTTTATTTACAGAGGCAACATAGAACTATATGAGTGCCCTGTTAAATTTTGGAATTATTTCGGGTTCATTTGGCCTTTTTATACATTAATTGAGTTTCTAGACTTTTAATGTGCATAATCTAAATATGAATTGCATGCACATGCTCCGGTGCACCAAAGTGGGTTGAAAAATCACATGTGTGTCCTTGGTTGAATTTCTAGGTCCCATGGAAGAAATGAGAATGAAATTCAAACATCTCGGCGTCATGACTCGGCCGAAAACATCGAGAAACTTAGATTTTAAATTCATGTAAATCCAAAACTCGCCTAGAAATCATGACGTAGCACTAACATGTTGTGGTAAAAGATTGAGCCGATTTGGAAGCTCATGGTTCTAAGAGGGAACGTGCCACCTTTGAGTGTGAAACGATATACGATGCCCTCCCTTGAGTTTCTTAACAAAGGCAACATAGAACTACATTAGTGCCCTGTTAAATTTTGGAATTATTCCGGGTTCGTTTGTCGTTTTTTATACATTAATTGAGTTTCTGTTCATTTAATGTGCATAAGTCAAATTTGAACTACAAGCACATGCTCTCGTGCACCAAAGTTGGTTGAAAAATCACATTTGTGTCCTCGGGTGAATTTCTAGGTCCCATGCAAGAAATGAGAATAAAATTAAAACATCTGGGTATCATGGCTCGGCCGAGAACATTGAGAAACTTGGTTTTAAAATTCTTGTAAATCCAAACACGTCTGAAAATCATGAAACTTGGCATGGATGTCATGTCAAGGTACTACCATGTTGTGGTAAAAAATTTGGCCGAATAGGAACAGATTTTGGTATAAGCTTCTTGCAAACCGAAGCTTCTCTCAAGAAGGCTCGTGGTTCTGAGAGGGAACGTGCCACCTTTGAGTGTGAAACGATATACGTTGTCCCCCTTGAGTTTATTTACAAAGGCAACATAGAACTACATGAGTGCCCTGTTAAATTTTGGAATTATTCCAGCTTCGTTTGGCCTTATTTACACATTAATTGAGTTTTTGGTCATTTAATGTGCATAATTCAAATTTGAACTACAAGCACATGCTCCCGTGCACCAAAGTTGGTTGAAAAATCACATTTGTGTCCTCGGGTGAATTTCTACTCCCTCCTTCCATCTATATAGGTCCTAATGCGTTCTTCGAGGCTAACTTTGACCAAACGTTAGAGCAATAATATATGACATGCAACTTACACAAAGCATACCTTCAAATTCGTATGTCAAAGGAGCTTCCAATAATATAATTTTCATAGTATACATCTCTTGTGCTATTAATCTTGTCAATAGTCAAAGGTTGTCTTGAGAAACACATTAGGCCCTATATAGATGGAAGGAGGGAGTAGGTCCCAAGCAAAAAATGAGAATAAAATTCAAACATTTGGGCATCATGGCTCGGTCGAGAACATTGAGAAACTTGGTTTTAAAATCATGAAACTTGGCATGGTGTCATGTCATGGTAGTACCATGCCGTGGTAAAAAAATTGGCCAAATAGGAACAAATTTTGGTATAAGCTTCTTGCAAATCGGAGCTTCTCTCAAGAAGGCTCGTGGTTCTAGGAGGGAACGTGTCACCTTTGTGTGCATAATTCAAATTTGAAATACAAGCACATGTTCTAGTGCATAAAAGTTGGTTGAAAAATCACATGCGTGTCCTCAGGTAAATTTATAGGTTCCATGCAAGAAATGGGAATGAAATTCAAAATTCTGGGCATCATGGCTGGGTTGGAAACATTGAGAAACTTAGTTTTTTAATTCCTGTAAATCCAAAACACGCATGAAAATAATGAAACTTGGCTTGGTGCCATGACATGGCAACAACATGCTGTGGTAAATTTGCAGTCCGATTTGCGAAGGCGCACACATTAACAATCAACAAAGTCATTTTGGAACAAGTGTTGTCATGTTACAATTAGAAACACAAGTATTATTGAAACCGTGGGCGTTCTACTTACTAGTACCATTTATGTGCCACCACGCGTCCCCATTTTTTATTATCTAGGAGGCGCCGTGCAGGGTAGCTATTTCAGTATGAGAGGCGTGCGATCAGACCCCTGCACGTGCTTATCGGGAGGAGAGCCCTTTGACCTCCATCTGTCGTCCACCTCTCTCCCAAGTTATCCATTAATGGCGCTCGAGCCTCTAGTTAATGGCGTGGCTATGTCTCACTCGACTGAGATTTTAGAGAGAAAAAAGGAAATCTGAAAGCACGGATCTTGATGTAAGATCCGATGGACCTATATAGCATCTACTGCGAATTATAGCAAGACTGATGAATATATAAGGACGAATAATTTCATTTTTTGATGAAAGAAGGGCTTGCCCCTTGCAATTTTCATTACTGAAAATCAGCACAATTCACAAGAAGTTCAACACAACTCCAGCCTAACACGAAGGACTAAAAGCTACCAGATTGAAATCGCAATATCCCAAGAGACCAACAAAGGCAAAACATCCGTGCTAGAAGCCAACATTTCACAACCGACGACACAATCCACATCCTAAACGGATTATTACATCAAAAGAAACTAGGAAACTGAAGGAAGCCCAGCAACAACTAGAAGAACAGCAACAACAGGGTTGCCACAGCAAGAGTTTTCTTCATTCCAGTCCCGCAACATTGATCTTCCACAGAAAGATAAGGACGACTAATTGTCTTACATCATTAGAAAGATAATTAAAAAGGCCACATGCGGCTACGCCCGAAATACAGAAGGGCAAAAGAAGAAGGAAGACCAGGATCTGGCTCACTGATCTCTACTTTCTTGATGCGTTGCTGCAGGCCGCGGGAACTAGTCTCCGCGGCAAGCGGCGATGAGCTCTTTCGTGTCCTCAAGATGCTGCTTGAGAACATCCACGGATTCCTCCACCAGCCTTTGGCGCTTGTTGAGGAGCATGTCATTCTCGTCCATAAGTTTCTTGACGATGACGCCGGTCCTCTTCAACAAGGCACTGGTCTCCTCCTGCTGGTCTGCACTTCGGACGATCTTCTCCCTCAGCAGGTCGCGCTCGGCCGGAGCCTATCATTGCCCTCCCTTAGTTTCCGGATGACGTCGGTAGCCTGTTCAAATGAGGCTTTCATGTCATCCTGCAACCTCGCCCAGCCGGAGATCTGATCCATTTGGCTATGGACGATCGCATGCATGCGTATGTAACAGTCGTCGCCTCCCCGCGAGAAATTTTCCCAGGCCGCCGCGGTGCGGCGGGACATCTTTGCTGCATTCGTGGCACGGCGGGACATCTCTGCTGCTTCTGTGGTGCGGCCAGACCAGTCTGCTGCATCGACAGTGCGGCGGGACCTCCGTGCTGCTTCAGCAGCGCGGCAGGATCTTTGTGCTGCTACTTCCACGTGGCGGGACATGTCGGCTGCTCTCGCAGCGAGGCGGGACATGTTTCATGCTTCCGCTTCCATGCTCACCTCTCCCTGGTGGCAATCTCTCGACCCAGAACTCACGCTGGCCATGGCAGACGCAAGGGAAGGATGCTGAATGACTTGTTTGTTTTTGTGGATGAGGAGTTGAGGAGGAATGTGCAGTCATCTTGGCATACTAGTATTTATAACCAAGTACTAATACGCTCCTAAGTGGGAAACTGTTTAGGTTGTGATCGGTGTGAATAGGTTTGCAATTCAATATAGCGTGGTACTAATACGCTCCTAAGTGGGAAACCGTTTAGGTTGTGATCGCTGTGAACAGGTTTGCAATTCAATATAGCCTGGAGTAATTTGGAATGTGACGAGACGCAAGCTCAAAATTAATTGACGGTTCTAGTTTCGAAGTGCGGCACTATTCCCGGATGGAGTACTTATTTTTCTACTCCCTCCTTTCCGGTTTTATAGGGCTTATCTCAAAATTTTAGTTTTTCCATTTTATAAGGCTCAATTTGGTTGTTCTCCAACACATGTTCAGATTCCAAGGTGCATTAAATCATTGCATGCAAGTATTAAGAGAAAATTAACCAATGCATGTACTTTATGCATGCATGCATTGCAATTAATGCATTAATAAACATAATTTTTTGAGAAAAACAAGAGCATTAATTAGGTGCTTTTGCAAACTACAAAAAATATTCCACCACTCACCATCTTGGTTGGTGAGATTTTTGAATTAAGCCCTATAAACCGGAAAGGAGGGAGTACTGCTGTGTACGTGCAATAACTAGCACTTTCGTATACATATCTTATGGTTAATAGGGCGTTCGACAGGAATAGCCGCGTGGTGAGCTCTAGGCTAGTCTTTTTTTAGACGCATTAAACCTATCTCTCGGGACTTCTCGCACGCACCATCGTGCCATCCACAAAAACTTGTACTCTGAGTTTAGTACTCCCTCCGTCCGGAAATACTTGTCATCAAAATGAATAAAATGAGATGTATCTAGACGTATTTTAGTTTGAGATACATATTTTTGTATCCATTTTGATGACAAGTATTTTTGGACGGAGGGAGTACGTTATACAGGAAGAGAAGAGGTGCACGCACGCACTCGTCCTCTCACACACGCGTCTGCTTTTTCTCGAAAAGGAGGATGATGACCCCCGGCCTCTGCATCTGGGAGTCACACACGCATCTGTAGCTACGAATTGGAGTGTTCTCAACCATCCGATTGGCTCTATCATGGATGTACCTATATACTAAAACATGTCTAGATACATCTATATTTTGACAAATGGAAGGCATGTATTGTGGAACGGGGGGAGTGCTTGTCATCAAAATGGATAAAAAGGGACGTATCTAGAACTAAAATACCTCTACATACATCTCCTTTTATCCATTTTGATGACAAGTAGTACTTCTTACCCAAAGGAACTTTATATCCAACAGACACAAAGGTAATCCCTATATTAGCATATTACTAAGATAGACAGAAGGCACTATAGAATCATTTAGGATGTGAGCTTGTCAATCTGAATGTGGAGGGACACAAGCTTAGCCCCGGCCAGCAGCTTGGGCAGAACTGTCAAGAAAATCAGCTCCTGCACATCGACGTCGCCGGGATCCTTGCTTCTTGTCACCTCCATTTCCACCTTGACGGCGTTGGTCGTGCCTTTGGGCTCCCCCGGCGGGCCGTTCGCCCACAGCTTGGCCATGTAGTGCGGCAGTGGGAACGCCCCTGGTCTGATGCAGACGACCGACATGGTGATAGGCGCGCCAATGTCGAGCACGCCACCGACCAAGAAAAACGCGCGGCGCTCCTCCTCCGTGAACAGCAAGAGCCGTGGCTCCGACAGTGGCACTTGCAGCTGGAGCACCTTGCCGTACTGGATCCTGTGCACGGGCATGGGATGCGCGGTGCTGATGTAGTGGTAGAGCACCGACGGCGGGCCTTCGTAGCCGCAGACGGGCATGGGGCATTTGCAGGGTGCGAGCGGACACACGCTCTGGTGATGGGAAAGCTTTTGGTGAGTGACGTACAACCCACAACCTTCGTGCGGGCACTCCACCCTCACCGACGAAAGGACGGAGTCCACCCCCATGTTCCGCACATTGAAGCCATCTCGGCGCTCGCACTTCTGGCACTGCCGCTGGTTCCCGAGGTGTCGGGGAAGCTGATCCACGAAAGCCTATGGGGATTGGCGGACCAAGCCCCTTTCGATCTGGTGAGGGCGGAGGCTGCACAAAGAGCGGATCGAGGCGGTACACGCGAGTAGTTTTACCCAGCTTCGGGCCGCACGGATGCGTAAAACCCTACTACTGCTTGTTTGTGTGTATTGGATTCTTGCTCAGGAGCGATGGACGCTGCCAGACTGGGCGTGAGAGTGTTCCTGATGTTTCGAATGAGCCGAACCCCCTCTACGTTGCGCTTGGGCCTCCTTTTATACTTTCAAGGGGTCACCGATAGGTGGCAACGTAGACTAGAAGGGTAAAAATGGAAAAGGATGCGGTAGGTGCAGCTACCGCTACTGTGGACACAGTGCACCCTACCTAACTCTGACGGCAGGGGACACGGTCATTGAATGCCTGTCTGAGTTGCCTAAACAGTGCAAAAAGTGACCGTTAGGAGCGCCACCGTTTGCCACGATGGCCTTCTCTTCATATCCGCTTGCCACCGCGCACCCCTAGCTGCGCGGCCTCCTGCCACGTCTTGAAGTGCCGTGGGTGGCCTTCCCGGCAAGCTCCTCTTGCCGGGGTCTTGTCTCTTCCCGGCAAGATCCTCTTGCCGGGGCCTGGGTTGGCCTTCCCGGCAAGCTCCTCTTGCCGGGGCCTTGGTTGGCCTTCCCAGCAAGCTCCTCTTGCCGGGGCATTGGTTTGAGTACTTTGTTCTTGAATGGTCTTCAAGGGAACCACGGAGGGTCTTGGCAGTCACCCGGCAAGCCTTGCCGCGGGAGGCTGCGACCGCCCGTGCACAAGTTCGGGGTACTAGGGTACCCCTACTCTAGTACACCGACAGGAGCCCCCGGGCCTGGGCCAGACACGGTGCCGACCGCTGTTGGGCCAGGCCCAAAACAGTGCACGGGCACGCGCGGGCCTGGGGTATGCCGAATCTAACTCCGTATCCACCGCACCCCCCGCAACGGCACGCGTCAATCACGGCGTCGTGGGGGAGATCGTGGGTGGTTCTTTATTTGGAAAGAGCGCAACGTCCGCCCCCTCCTCCTTTCTTCAGCTTCTGCTCCCCTTTCTCTCATTCGCCATGGAGAAAGGGAACCCAGGCCCTTCATCGGTGGTGGCGAGGGTCACCGCCAGACAGCGCATCTCTCTGTCTCCCGCGCCCGTGGTGGCAGAGCCAGCCATAAGGGGAAGAGGGAGGGGGCGAGGTCGCGGACGAGGTCGAGGACGAGTTCGAGGCGCTCGGGGAAGAGGCGGGCGGGGCGGCGCGCCAACTTCGCCTCCGCCGGCGGCTCCTCCCCCCACGGCGGTCCATATAGGGGACGACCCTTGCGAGTTCTTCGTCAAGCTGCGCCGGGCGCCTCGTCGTCGCCTCCGGCTTCCAGCTCCGTTTGCGAGCGCGATGGAGTTGGACCCGCCCGAGACACTGAGACTACACATGAGGGGCTGTGGGATCAGCGGCACGAGAGTCCGCGTTGTATTCCCAGCCCCTAATGTGATGTATCTTGATCGAGGGTGGAAGACGTTCGCCCGTATCCACAGCCTGATGGAGGGGTTTACCCTCCATTTTAAGTTGATGGAGGGCGATCTCCTCTCCGTCAAGGTCTTCGGGTGCTTCGGCACTCAGGTGAAGTGCTGCGTGGATAGCTCCTCCGATAGCGAAGGCTCCTCCTCGAGCGAGAGTGACGAGGAGGAGAGCGACAGCGACGATGAGGGTGGCGGGTCCGACTAGGCGTTGGGCGCCGCTTCGCGCAGCACCGGCGGCCCCATCATCCGTGTCGCCGGCTTCTTGAACTCCCCGGGGTCGTCTCCTTGGGCGGCTGGCGTAGGGAGGCTGCGGAAGGGGAAGAGGGCTAGCGACAAGGCCGTCAGGTCGGAGTACGAGGGCGTGGTGCCCTCGACAGCGTGATGACGTCCTGCCGCCCCATCTTCGAGCCCCGCTTCCAGCGTCGCCATCGCCGTCCAGCCTTCGGACGGCCCCCGGGATGTTCTCTTGGTGTCTTCTGGCACCCGTAGCTCGCCTAGGCGCTCCTTTTGCCCTTTTCGCCTCCTTGACCTGCCTCCTGAAGAGAGGGACAGGAAAGGGATTACGGGCATCTTATCTTTTTAATTTGTAAGCCTTCGGGCCTTAGCTGTATCTAAAACTTGTAATCCTCTCTTTCATGTTTTTCATCCTCTATGGACTGTATCTGAGTGGGATGTTTTTTAATTAAAAGGGGATGCTTGCCGGGTTATTTGTCTCGCGAGTTGAACCCACGCCAAGGAGCAAATCCTTGGTATCCCTCGGACAGACATTTCATCTCCCGGCAACAGCCCTGCCGCCTTCCCACGTCGCTCGACCTTTCTCACGCCTTTGACGGAGGTGGGAACGAGGTGGGTGCGGTCCCCTCGTTTCATCCCTTCACTGCCGTGACTACGACCAAACTTGGCCCCGGGAATGAGCCCCAGGGCCTAGAGTTGAGGGAGCACGGCAATTTTCGGGAAGAAACGCGGTTTCGCATTCCCCAGTCCATAAGAGGACGCATGATGAGGGATGAAAGACTTATCTGATATTGCAGCCCCCGGCAACTCTGGTTTGCCGTGGGCGATTCTTGGCACTCGCAGCCCCCAGCGATACTGGCTTGCCGGGGCCCAGGTGCCGGCGCGCCCTTCTTATCCTTTTCGTCCTCAAGCAGTCTGGCCAGGATATGCGAGCCCTGCGAACGAAAGAGAAGCAAAAGGACGGACACTCGACCTCTAGCATGCATGCTATAACCCCGGGGTGGAAGGCTCCGGGTACTCTTCCGACGAGGAACTCCAACCTAGCGCCAAGCTCACTCTGTTCTTCAAAGGCGTGGCGGCGGCGCTCCAGCAACTCCGGGAACAGATCCCAAAGCAGTTGGCCGACGAGTCACGCTCGATTTCTGCCGGAGTTCTGGAGAAGGTGCTGGTGAAGGTGGCCTTCCGCAATCCGAGCCTCCGCCTCACCAATATCCTCAGGACCTTGCCGCCAGAAGCTGATCTGGAGGAGCTCAAAGCCCTTGTCGCACCCATTGTGGACAAGGTGACCGGAATCAAGAGGGTCGAAGGCGATCGCATAGATTAGGCCGCCCACTTCTTCTTTCCTTGTCGCTGCCAGCCATGTCACGGGAACACTTTATTAGAGGCACGACAAGTTATTTTTGTAATATAACTCTATTTTAGGCAAAAAATTGTTGTGTTACTTCCTTTACTCGACTCTTGGCTTTGTATGGTTCTGCCCTACGCTTTCTAGGGAAACTTGCCGGTGCAGGCACCCTTGCCGCGAGCGCCGAGTGCGGAACTTCAGCAGCCTGCTGGCGGGGTCGCTACCGACAAGCAACCTTGTCGCAACTAGTTGCAGCTCACTTAGGTTGTTGAGCGGACTCGAAACAAAGTAAGGGCGCTAGCGGCTCACTTAAGTTGCTGAGCGGACTCGAAGCAAAGTGAGGGCGCTAGCAGCTCACTTAAGTTGTTGAGCGGACTCGAAACAAAGTAAAGGCGCAACTAGCTACGAGTTGGTTCCTCCGCGCACAGGTTTTCCATACAAAGCACGGTCGTTCAAGGAAAATAACTCAAAAACTTAAAAAAACTGATTGCTCAAGCTTTAGCAACTTAGCTTTTCTGTCGTCTGTTTCCCGGCAAGGAGAAACTTTCTTGAACGGCCTGGTCCACACCATTATCTTCTCCTTCCCCCCTAGTAAACCTTGTGGGCGAGGGAACCTTCCTTCTTTTGAGAAAGAAACAGAGAAATAAAGTAATGATATGGAGCCTTGGGCTCGTTATCGCTTACCGGGGTCTGGTGCTGCACAAAGTGTCAGATAACATATGCGAAAAAGGATTATAGCATAAAAAACTGACAAGATGTGCGGGGCACATGAACTTTACTGGTGCATGGGGTCTGCGCCCGGCTTTGTACAAAGGATTACATGTAACAGCGGCAAGACTTGTACAAAAGGTGGTTGCCGGAAAAGCTTCCGGCAACCGCGCCCTACGGGTAAAACTTACGAAGATGTTCAATGTTCCAGGAGTTGCTCATCGGAATGCCATCTTCGGTCTCAAGGCGGACAGCGCCGGGCCTAGTGACTCGTTTCACCCGATAAGGGCCTTCCCACTTTGGCGTCAACTTGTTAGAATTCTTGGCGGACTGAACGCGCCGAAGAACAAGGTCGCCTTCCTTGAAGCTTCTGGCTTTAACTTTGAGGCTATGGTAGCGACGCAAAGCTTGCTGGTAGCGAGCGGCTCGCACAGCAGCCTGAAGATGGTCTTCCTCAAGGAGCAGCGCGTCATCTTGTCGCAGCTGCTCTTGCTCGAGCTCATCATAAGCAAGCACTCGAGGCGACCCGTAAACGAGTTACGTGGGGAGAACTGCCTCCGCTCCGTAGACTAGAGCGAAGGGTGTCTGGCCAGTGGCTCGATTTGGCGTCGTCCTGATCGACCAAAGAACCACCGGCAGCTCCTCGATCCAGTTTTTTCCGCACTTGTGCAGCCTGTCGAAAGTTCTGGTCTTGAGGCCTCGCAGCACTTTAGCATTTGCCCTCTCCGCTTGACCGTTGCTTCTCGGATGAGCAATAGAAGTGAAGCAGACCTTGGCGCCAAGATCTTGGACGTACTGCATGAAGGTGCGGCTCGTAAATTGCGTGCTGTTGTCGGTGATGATCCTGTTTGGGATCCCGAAACGGCAAACAATCGACCTGAAGAACTTGACTGCTGACTGTGTTGTCACCTTCCTCACTGGTTCCACTTCCGGCCACTTTGTGAACTTGTCGATAGCGACGTACAAGAACTCAAAGCCCCCGATAGCTCGGGGAAAGGGGCCGAGGATGTCAAGCCCCCAGACCGAAAATGGCCAGGATAAAGGGATCATCTGGAGAGATTGAGCTGGTTGGTGTATCTGCTTGGAATGGAACTGGCACGCTTCACACTTGGT